CCCAAAATATTTTTATCCGACATAAATCAAGCATAAAAAGTGGCAACAATGGCACTTAAAAAGAGTTAGAAAGTGACAGTCATGCCATAAAGGCAATGATATTCCTCAAAGACAACATATATAGGTAAGTGAACTGATATGTCCTACTGTCCCCAGTTGAGGCTATGAAACCTTAAATAATATTCCAATATGCTCATATAAAGATTCCACAAAGCTAAAACAACAATAACAATAAATAGTAATGATAATCATAATGGAAGCTAATTACAGAAAGGAAAAAAATGATACCTTTAAATCTAATAACAAAAGGTATTTTGTGATGACCCATAGTCTGACATTAAAAAAAAAACAAAAACCTATGCCATTAAATCTTTCTTCTGAAAGGAATGAGTAAAAACAATCATGAAGTAAAAATAGATTCCAATTTATTATTTAGCATTCTAGACACTTACCTTTCACCTATTATTACTACCTCTATATTCTTTCCGAATTGAATTTCAGATTGTTCCTTACCCATTTTCCATCTAAATTAAATAAAAACAAGTATGAGACAGTCATATAAAAAGGATGACACCCACAACCCAAAACCTTCTAAACTTTTTAAAGCATCAGATTCAATTTTCATAATTCATAATGTAAAACATGAGAAATAATTATGTATGATTTTTAGTATTTGTATTCTTTCCCAGAGAGACACTAATCTTAATCTCCAAATTTCTAAATTGGTCTAAACAATATTCCTAGGGTCTCAGATGATAAAAGGAAACTTCTATAAGAGATCAGAAGGATTTTGAAAAATCATTTCAGAAACCCAAAATACACTGATGTCAATATAAAAAATGGAGCCAAAAAAGAGTATCTACTATTTCTGTGCCATTTTTGCGTTGAATCAAGGACATCTACAGACAACTAAGGGTACTTATTTACACCCAATTTGCAGCCTAATTATATTAGAATAGAACTTTGTTCTAAGGAACACAAGGAGTATAATATAATACAATTATATTAGTTCGTAATCTAATGAAAACAGAGAAAAATTTTTAATGTTAATAATGCATTTAAATAGTCATTAAAAATAGTAACACAACTAACTACACATCTACAAGTTCTAAGAATATTTTGATAGCATCCCTGAAGTGGCTTCTGTCAAACAAAAAATAATCTAGAATGGTCCCTGGAGAGAATGGAGGTGGTTTTGAAAAGTTGAATAAAGTGAAAAAAACATGCTACTTCAGAACTAGGAAGTAAACAATGTTTAGGTGAGGCAGGTAGGGATGAACAAGGAATGAAAAGTTTCCCTAACCAAAACACTCATTAGTGATCTACCTAAATAGAAGTATAAGTTCAACAGTAAAAAGTCTTACTGGTAAGAAAAGAAAGTATAGTAATCCAAACAATGTTTAGGAAAGTAAGATAATAGTTAAAAAAGAAAAAAAAGTACCAACCTGACTATTTCACTGGCTTCTTTAGCCCTGGTAACACTTGGCTGCCCTCCTCATCCAATCTAGTTTTAATTTATCACTCAGTCACTTCAGCTCTGTTCTTACAAAATACCCTAGATCCTGTCAGCCCCGTTACTCTGTCATATCCACCCACCAAGGCTTACCCTAGTTGAGAGTGAGCTTAGGAAATCAAATAGATCTAGGATCAAAGCCATTAAGCCTTGGGTACCTGACTTCATTACTCAAAGCCCATTTCCTCACTGGTAAAGTAAGAATTGCATCACTTACCTGACATAAACATAGATGGAGTACTTGGACATAATCTATACTAATAATGTCCTATCTACTGTTATTCGCTCAATCAACTTCACTACTTGCCATTCCTAAAACAACTAGTGTGATAACTCAGTTACAAATTTTCTCTACACATTCAAAATCCCCAACCCTCTCTGCAACCTCCTTCTTCCTTGCTCTCTCAAGAAGTAAACTTCTTACCTATACAAATGGCCCCTGACTTACAAATGGCTGAACTTACAATTTTTTGACTTTAGGATGTGCTTATCAGGATATTAAATGCATTTTGACTTACAATATTTTCAAGTTAAAATGGGTTTATCGTGGTGTAACCCCATCATAAGTCAAGAAGCATCTGTATTCCTCAAAAGACAGCTATCATCAAACATGAGTATCCTCTTCAAATTAGTTACTACACTACATGAATACTAGAGTACAGCCTACAACAGGGATCACTTCCTCCTCCAAACCACTTATTAACTGAGCTACTCAACTGCAACTTTACAAATATTATTTTTATTATCTTATATAGACATAACCTGTCTCCCAATTCAATAAATTCTTAGATGTAGGTCTTATATTTTCAGAGCTTCTTAGATACCCAACACTTACTGAATAATACATATTCAATAAAGAGCTAATGATCTTCCAGCTTCCAAAGCTTACCAGTGTTAACAAAAAACTGAGTGACTGAGGGAAGTGTCTCAATCAGTAGAGGTTTATCGAGTCATACTTTGAGGACGCTCCTGGGGAAAAACAAGCCCACAGAAGCATCTGTGACCCGCACTTTCCAAAGAGGGCTTTGGGAACTCAGTATTCTAGGGGAGAGCATACAGGAGTGAAAAACGGTGGGAGGGAAGTAGGCAGTGAGGCAAATGGTTACATTCTCCTGAGTACCTTTTCTGATAGCATAGTTACTGATTAGCAAAAATGTTATATGTTCACAAAAGAGTAATCAAAACAATGAGGGAACCTGAAATTATGAGAACTAGCTGAAGAAACTGGGGACTAGGAAAAAAATAAATAGTGGAGAGGGAGTGAGGGGAAGGACTGTTGAAAGGGAGAGATTATCCATGTAAAAGTGAAGAAAAATGAACTAATGAATGGTTAAAAATAGAGGAAGATTAACTTCAACTTAAAATAGGAACTTTTAATGAGACCTATTTAAATGTGGAATGAGGCGTTCAGTGGAAGTGCTTCCCATCGCTGGAGATGAAAAAGCACAGGCTGAACAATCCACTCAGCAGGAATGACTGAGGATAAACTGAATGTCAGATGGGAAGTAGGACTAGAAGCCTCTTAGATTCTTCCAGCACAATGTCTCTAAGGCTCTAAAATATCTGTCTTGCTCCAAATCACTGCAGCACCTGCTCCTATTGACACTGCCAAGGGGAGAAAGAAGAAAAAGATGTATTCTTGTAATTTTGTCATCAGAGTACATATCCTGTGGAAACAAGGCTGTAGAGAGTAAGTACAGTTTATGGAATCAGACACAAAATTAAATATAACTTTTATGAATTCAAATGTCAGTCAATATTGTCACCATGGTAGAAAATACATCCTACATTCCAAATTAACTCAAAACAAATTTGTGTTTATGAGGGAGTCCACTTGTATCACCTTCCACGCTGTATTATTATTTCATGTATGCTAGGTTTTGCTTCCCTGAAGTCTAACCTCGTGTGTAAACCGAGACTATTGTTTAGGTTCTTTTTTTTTTTTTTTTTTTTTTTTTTTTGAGACAGAGTTTTGCTTTTGTTGCCCAGGCTGGAGTGCATTGGTGTGATCTCGGCTCACTGCAACCTCCGCCTTCTGGGTTCAAGCGATTCTCCTGCCTCAGCCTCCCGAGTAGCTGGGATTACAGGCGCCCGCCACCACTCCCGGTATTTTGTGTATTTTTCGTAAAGACGGGGTTTCACCATGTTGGCCAGGCTGGTCTCAAACTCCTGACCTTAGGTGATCCGTCCGTCTCTGCCTTCCAAAGTGCTGGGATTACAGGCATGAGCCACGGCGCCCAACACTGTTTACGTTTTTGCGTGACCCGCAGATCTTTATCACGCTGCTTGAGTAACAATTCTGCTACACTAACAGATAAACTCAGTAGACTGTCAAGAAATTTTGTAATTAACTGCAGACAGAGCATTTAGTGAGTTACGGCACAGACTCTTCAATTTTCAGTCGTGCTCTGACTGGCTCCCTGTGTAAACTCAGGTCAGTCATTTAACCTCTCTAAGCCTGTTTTCCTATCTGCAATATGGTGAAAGTGAGGATCATGGAAAATATTCCATATAAAAGTACCTGGCATGCAGTAGATGCTCAGTAAATGCTTAGTGTAACGCTCAGCACCTAAGTGTCATGTGAGTATTAAATAAACCTGTTCCTTATTACAATTATCTTATGCAAAAAAAAAACCTGCCAGATACTAGCATTCAGTTGAATTATGTTAAGTAAGTAGTACAACTCCTCTTTTTACTGTCAGAATATTAAAACTACTAGTGTGATGTGCAAATTATATACTCGAAACTAGATACTGAAATTGGAATTTGGCTTTGGGACAGAAATCTTCTTCTTCCAGAACTCTCCAAAGGAATTCAACAGTCAAAAGAGACCGCTTTTTATTCTGCAGCAAAACAATGATATTCTGAACCTACGCCAACTAACTGAATACGTCGCAGAGCCCATTTCCCCCTCCAGTTTCCCTTGTCTCCTTTGCTCTCTGAAGGCAAGGAACAGCTATGCTTTCCCCCGCCTACAGCCTGAAACTTCTTACTAGGCCCCGCTCCTCGTCCCATGAGAGCACAGTAAATCCTGACTGCACAGGGTAAGAGAAGCTATAAGATGAGACAGACTAGAGATTTCCCTGGGAAGGTATTCGAGGGGCTCTAAGGTATTCACGGCGCACCTGAGACGGTCCACCCAGAGGCCCCACAAGGAACCGCCCTATTGAACTTAAGTGACAGCCGCGCCGCCACCTCATCGCCGCCCAGTTCACGCTCTCGCCGAACACTCAGTCACGCTTGCGCGGCCCAAAACGAACAGCCCCGGCCCCGATTCTTTCTTTCGCTAAGTACCATTTCAATCGCCTTTATGATCCCTTGTGCAAAAGCGACAGAGATCCGAACCCACCTGGGACAGATGCTCCTCTTCTACAAATGCCGAGTCTGCAATGAGAGCGCATGCGCCTTTCCCAGGAATCATTCACGTGACTGGAAGTGGCTGGGTTCTGATTTGCTCGGTATTTGATTAAAAAGCCTTAATGTGGGTAAAAGCGGGGATTTCTCTGTTGCGCATGTGCGCGCTCTCAGCCTGATGGGAGTTGTAGTTCTGCGGGTGAAGCCCGACGTTACTATCAAGAAACCAAACTGCAAGCTCTGGGAGTTGTTCGCTGTCCCTACCCTGCTCTGCCAGGGAGAGAACGCCAGAGGGAGGCGGCTGGCCCGGCGACAGGCTCTCAAAACCGCTACCAGCGATGCTACTGCTGTGGGTGTCGCTGGTCGCAGTCTCGGCGCTAGCGGTACAGGCCCCCGGAGCAGGGGAGCAGAGGCGGGGAGCAGCCAAAGTGCCCAACGTGGTGCTGGTCGTAAGCGACTCCTTTGTAAGTACCGCGAGGCAGGGGAGGGGCCCCCGCTAGGGACCGGAGACCTCCCCGCCGCCGCCTGTGCTGCAAGCTTTGGGTAGCAGAACCTGAGACATTTTCAAACACCTTTCACCCCGATGCAAAGAAAGAAATACATTTTATGTGAGGCCCCGTGTACTCACAAGCACACCACATACCTATGCAGGCATGTAAAACAATAGTGAAATACTGAAAACATCTTTGCAGATTTTTTTTTTAATACTGACCGCGATTCGCTAAATTATTTTACCACTACTAATGAACTTTCAGTCCATACCCCGGTTTGGTTTAATTGTGTGGTAAAATAACATTCTGCATCTCCATAAAAGCGTGTTAGCTTTCCAAAAGTCATTTCCCAGTTCACCTCAAGTTTGCAGGAATTCATGTTTGAGTGAGAAGTGAAGAAAGTTTATTTTTATTATCCAGGTTTGTGATAATCCTGTTAGTGCTGATTCAAATGGAGTCGTTGGTATAACTTGATTCACTCCCCCGTATTCCAGAAAAATTTTGCGTGTGTGTGTGTTGGTAATGTGGCCGAATCCCAAACTTAAACAGTTTCTGAAACTTTCCCAAGCCAAAGGTGCTACTGTCAACCTTACCGAAGCTTTTAGGATGATATATGTTTTAAAAAGTGCTGCTTAGACAATTGTTTGGTTATTAATTGTAATATTAGTTTATTATCACTCGGTGTTACTGTGGTCACACAGAGGTTGGTGTTAAGCATATCTGGCACTAAAGAGTGTTTGCAATCATATGTGGTATTCCCTTTCTCATAGATTAACCCGTGATGATTAAAATTGCATAGTCTGGATGTGCCCATGAGATTTTTTGAAAATATTAAAGTTATCTTTGTGATTTAAACTTAGAGAATGGGTGGTACTGGAAATTGACTAGATGGCATTTTATTACAGAGTGATCTTGTAATCAAAGACAAATGAAGGAAGCAGGATTGTGCAGAGGAGAAGCTAAATTTTGTTGCTATCTTATTATGACAGTTCTCAAAACTAATATGGTGCTTCAGAGCTGCTTTCCAGTTGGAGTGAGGGGAACAGACCTTTCTACCTGCATGTTGGATGGCCACTGATTGTGGGCTGCTCCTAGAATGGGGCGTGATGTTGGGCAAAGCAGCTGTCTTCAGCAGAGGCAATTGTTCATTCCTAAAAGGGAATTCGGATGTGGATCACAACATCCCAGAAACTTCCAAAGATGACTGAGATATTTAGGTTTGTTACTTTTTTAGTATAGTATGAATGCATAGATTTTTCTATATTTGCTTACATTTTTGGCATTCACATACTTGTTAGTATTCAAAGTGTCCTATCTTTGGCCAGTGGAAGCCCCTTCAGGTGGTTCTGAGTCCTTTTGACCCATCCCCATTAGTATTTGACAGCTTGCTTTAACAGAGTTCAGTGTCCACAATGCGTATTTCCTGCCCCATCTTGTATTTAGAGACCACAATCTGAGTGTTAGGGTTTTCATTGCATCTAGACCTTTCCAGTGGACAAATCTAGAAAGTACATATATTTTAGAAAGAGAAAAATAAATTGTGAGATTATACTGATACCTTCCATTCAAATTTATGAGTTCCTTCTTTAATTTTTATACTTATATCTTTTTTGTCTTATGCCAAATATTTTGGTCTAAACACATTAATACAATTACTTATTTGCTTTTTCCAAACATATAATATGTATATATCAATGTGTTTGAAAATAAGACTGTAATATTGCTAGAAATAATGCTAGTCCTGAGTGGAGCTTACAGTTTCTTTGAAGTTTTTGTTTTAGGTGTATTCAACTATATAGTAAAAAGATTGGTCTTTAAACTTAAAATAATTCCTCTCTCTATGATTATACCAGTTTGGTATGCTGTTAGATTCTTGACACTGATTTATCATTTCTAAAACTCTACAGGCTAAGATAGAGCAGTTGAGCTGATAATAGTTGTAGGAAGAAGATAGCACATTGGTTTTACGTTCAGGATAGCAACACAAGAGCTTTGCAGGCCGACTCCCAAGAAAACAAGCAAAACAAATGAAAACACTTTATACATAAAAACTATTAAATATTTGAAACATTTAAAGTGTCTGGAAATTGTCCTAAAGGCATATACCAAATGAAGAAACATTTATTCAAGAAAATCCACTAAAACTTGGTAAGAACAGCAAGAAGAGTCTGTGGCAGTGAACTATGGCTTTGACAGAGGTTTCACTCACGTGGGTGTGGCCAAGATGATAGGACTCCTTCTCCCCACAGCTCCCAATGACTGGTTATCATATCTCACTAGAAGGGACAGGCTGTGAGGATTTCTCATCTTCTCCTAATCCAAGTTGGAGAGGTTAAATTCCTAATGAATGCAGCTGAGAAGTTGAGGGCTCCCTTACTTCAGTCAGCCCCCACTTACAGGACAGAGGCTTAATGCCAGGTGCGGAGGGTTGAGAATACTAGGGCCCTCACTGCCCTGGCCCTAGCTCTGTAGTAGGACAGAGGTTCCATACCAGGAGAGACAAGCTGAGAAGACCAAACAAGCTTCTGCAAAGCAAGCAGAATGGAGGAAATAATAAGGATTAGAGCAGAAATTAAGGAAACAGAGGATGGAAAAATAGTAGAGAAAATCAATGAGACAAAAAATTGGTTCTTAGACAAAATCAGCAAAATTGACAAACCTTAGCTACGCTGAACAAGAAAAAAGACAAAAGAGCTAGATTACTAAAATCACAAAAGAGAATGGATACATTACCCTAAGAAATAAAAGAATTACAGGGGAATACTTATATATAACAACTGTGTATCATCAAATTAGATAACATAAATGAAATGGACAAATTGCTAGGAAGGCAGAAACTACTGAAACTGACTCAAGAAGAAATAGGCAATCTGAATAGACCTATAAGAAGTAAAGAGAGTAAACTGGTAATTTTAAAACTACCAACAAAGAAAAGCACAGACCCAAACAGTTTCACTGATAAATTCTACCAAATGCTTAAAGAATAATTAATATTAATTCTTCATCTCCTCTTCCAAAAATTAGGAGAGAACACTTCCAAACTATAAGACCAGTTTGACCAGGCGCAGTGGCTCACACCTGTAATCCCAGCACTTTGGGAGACCGAGGTGGGTGGATCACCTGAGATCAGGAGTTCAAGACCAGCCTGGGCAACATGGTGAAACCCCATATCTACTAAAAATACAAAAATTAGCCAAGTGTGTCAGGCATCTGTAATCCCAGTTACTCAGGAGGCTGAGGCAGGGAGAATTGCTTGAACCCAGGAGACAGAGGTGCAGTGAGCCGAGACTTGCCATTGCACTCCAGCCTGGGCAACAGAGCAAGACTCCATCTTAAACAAACAAACAAACAAAAAAACAGTTTTTGCCTGATTCCAAAGCCAGGCAAACATCACAACGAAAGAAACCCACAGACCAGTATCCCTTAGGAATATAAGAGCAAAGATCCTCAACAAAATGGATTTGGCCCTCCATATTCACAGGTTCTGAATCCGCAGATTCCACCAACCTCAGATAAAAATATATGGTATTTATGGGATGTGGAACTCACAGAACTTGACTTTTCCTATCCATGGGTTCCTCAGGACTGACTGTGGGACTTGAGCTCACAAAGATTTAGTATCCTAGGGAGGTATTGGAAACAATCCCCTGCAGATACCAAGGGATAAATGTACTAGGAAACCAAATTCATTAGTATATAAGAAGGATTATTCATTACCAAGTGGGATTTATCTCCAAAATGTACAGTGAGTTTACTATCTGAAAATCAATTAATGTAATACATCATATTGACTGAATAAAGGACAAAACCCATGTGATCATCTCAATAGATGCAGAAAAAAGCATTTGACAAGATTTAACAATCCTTATGCATTCAACTGGCTAGAAATAGAAGGGAACTAAAAGGCATCTACAAGAAAAAGCCAGAACTTTACACTGAATGGTTAAAAGTAAAAAAAAATCAGTTTTCTGACTAAGATCAGAAAGAAGACAAGGAAGTGTGTTCTCACCACTGCTATACAGCATTGTACTGGGGGTTCTAGCCACAGAATTAGAAAAAAAGATTAAATAAAAGGCATTCATATTGGAAAGGAAGAAGTAAAAGTATCTATACTTGCAGTAATCTTGTATATAGGATTCTACAGATCCACTACAAAACTATTGAACTAATAAATTAGTAAGGCTGTATACAAGATCAGTGTACAAAAATAAATTATATTTTATACACTTAATTGATTAATACACTCACTCACTTAATTATATTTTATACACTTAATTGATTGATAAATCCATATGAATTTTAGGATGGGTTTTTCCATCTCTGCAAAAAAAAAAAAGTTCTAGGGATTTTGACAGGCATTGAATTGAACCTGTATATCAATTTGGTGAGTACTGCTATATTAACAATATCAAATCTGATCCATGAAAAGGGGATGTCTGTTCATTTATTTAAATGTTCTTTTATTTCTTTCAACAATGTTTTGTAGTTTTCAGAGTATAAGAACTACATTTCTTTGATTAGATTTATTTTAAGTATTTCATCCATTCTGATATTACTTTAAATGGAACTGTTTTCTTCCCAATATTTGAATTATATAGCACCTTTAAGACAGTTCTTCTACCTTGTGACCTCCTGCTCCATCCGCCAACCAGGTAAGCCTGGGTTGTCTGGATTCTAGGCAGTGGCCACAAATTGTTATCTCCCCATGTCCAAAAGATTGTAAGCATAAGACATATAGACATTTGGAATTTGTGAGGATAAATTTCTGAGAATTTGAATTTAAGGGCTTAAAGAAATTCTCATGAGGAAGGGCTATGCACCTTTTTTTTAAATTTTGAGATACATTCTCGCTCTGTCACTCATGCTGGAGTGCAGTGGTGCCATCTCAGCTCACTGCAACCTCTGCTTCCCGCATTCAAGTGACTCTCTTGCCTCAGCCTCCCAAGTAACTGGGATCACAGGCACCCACCACCACGCCCAGCTAATTTTTGTGTTTTTCTTAGAGACAAGGTTTCACCATGTTGGCCTGACTGGCCTTGAACTCCTGACCTCAAATGATCTGCCTGCCTCGGCCTCCCAAAGCGCTGGGATTACAGGCATGAGCCACTGTGCCTGGCCGTTATGTACTTTTGTCTTTGGCTTTCTAGCTCATCATTGAGGAAATCCATAGTTATTTGCTTAGCATTCAGTGATTACTCTTGCTAGAAGTGGTAGTTTATTTTGACATAAGACATGCATAATTTTCTCCATCTTAAAAAATTGAACTGACTTTAATCCCACATTTTCTTCCAGCTAACACACCATTCTCTAACATCGATCCCGTTTTTCTGTTTCACTTTGCAAAATAACTTCTTAGAAGAGCTTTTCTTTTTTCCCCCTGCTGCCTCACTTTCCTGCCTCCCATTCCTTCCCCTTTCCAGTTTAGCTGTTCATCTTTACCGCCCATTGAAAGTGCTCTTGTCAAGGTCACCAGCTGTCTCCATACTGCCAATTCCAATGTGCATTTTCTGGCCTCATTTCAGGTGCGTTCTCAACACAGCAGATGTTACCTCTTTCTTGGCACACTGTCTTCTCTCAGCTGTCATGGCACTCGGTCTCCTCACATCTTCCTCCCTTGGCCATTCTTTCTCAGTTTCCCATGCTGCTTTCCCCTCTTATTTGGGACTCCTTACAACTTCTTCTAGACCCTTTTCTTTCCCCTCCTTTCCCTCTCTCCCTAAAAGGTTTTATTTAGTCTCACAGTTTTCAAAACCATGAATATGTTAAATACTCCCAAGTTTTATTTCACCAAGATAGACTTCTCTCAACTCCAGATTCCTGTCTATATCCAACAGCCTACTTTATGTCTCTATTTAGGAATCTCAGCTATCCCAAGGGTTTAGATATATTCTGTATTTTGGGTTGGCTCATGTTTTAAACTGGAATTTATTTGTACTTATGTTGAAAACATGTAATAGAACTCCAGGACTGGAATATTCTTTTTTCTGTTCTTGCTCTTTACCAAGGTGAGTTCTTCAATTCTCAGTTCATCTCCAAAATGCGTATCTCCAGCCCAAACATCTCCTAATCTTCAGACTCATTTATCAAGCTGCCTAATTTTTTTTGTAGAAACAAGGTCTCCCTATGTTGCCCAGGCTGGTCTTGACCTCTGAGCTCAAGCTATCCTCCCACCTCAGCCTCCCAAAGTGCTAGGATTACAGGCATGAGCCACCACACCACACCCCACCCCAGCTGCCTAATTGATATCACCACTTCCATCTCACAGATACCTCAAACTTTGTATGTCCTTTAAATTCTTTGAATAGCTGGATCCTACTCATTCTTTAGGTCTCATATATCCCAGAGAAGACTTCCCTGTCCACACTATCTAACATAGGTCTCTCTTGTCCTTCTGTATCTCAGATTTTTTTTCAAAGCATACATCATAATTTGTAATTATTCATGGTTTATTTGCCAGTATACTTTTTGCCTCTCCCACTAGACTGTAAGCTTCATGGGGCCTAGGACTCTGTTTTATTCACCATTGCATCCTCAGATTTTGCACAGTGCCTGGCACATAGTTAAGTATTCAATAAATACTTAGTTCATCATCCCCCAAAAGAACGTTCTAGGAAGTCCTTTATTTACTGTATTCAAATGAATCCAAGTGTAACACTGCATTGAATTCTAGATATTTATGTACCAGATACTGGGAACACTCTCTATACTTGTTTTGTTTTTTTCTTTGGAGGATTCTTAAAATCATATTGAAGTCTTCTGCTATTGTAAATTTTATGGTTAAAGAAAATAATTTTCTTCTTTGGTAATGCAATCAATGCTAATTAAATTTCCTTATTTCCAGGATGGAAGGTTAACATTTCATCCAGGAAGTCAGGTAGTGAAACTTCCTTTTATCAACTTTATGAAGGCACGTGGGACTTCCTTTCTAAATGCCTACACAAATTCTCCGATTTGTTGCCCATCACGCGCAGGTATGGACATCCTTAATATGAATGGGAGAAAGTGGCTACACACTGAAGCTATATTCACAGTTTAAAAGATTATAACTAAAAGTAGAATGGTTATATTTGGCTTCAATAAAATTGTTTTAATATAAAAGATGTGCATTTTAAGGTATATATTGGCTATTGGGCGTGTTCAAATTGTATTTTTCAAGAGTAGGAATTTTTATCATTTAGAATGGTGTCTAGTTCATGTGTTACCATTTTATTTCCTTGTGACTGGGGACTAAGAATCTCTTGACCATCCAAGAAAATGAGGGAATACACATATTTCCTAGAAGAGTTCTGTTTCCAGGGAAATTTTTCAGTAACAGTATAGGTAATGGGGAAGACTTCTATGAACATTAGAGTATACCATAAAGTAGTTACAACTTATATTTAGATTTACCTGAATTTTTTCTTATTATTTCGGATTATATACTTTACCTCTTTCTTTCAGTTTCAACTCACTTTTATCCCAAGTCAAATTGTTCACTTTTATTATAATAATTTAACAAATAGACATAGTTTTATTGGCAGAATGTCAGTGACATTAAGCCATGAATAATTAACAAATAGGAAAAAACTGCCATTTTTATAAATTCTATCTATTGTCTGATAGTTGTTTTCCTTTTCCCCTGTCTTCTGGTTTATGATTGTTGCCTTGGAACCCATAAATGGCACTCAGTGATTTGGTTTGTCTGTAAATGAAATGATTTTCTCTGTGATTTGAGTTATAACTTCTCTTTTTATTTTCAACACTAACAACTCTATTATTACCAGTGATTAAAAGAAAACTAAACTATATTGAAAATGATATTTCAATAATGAAGGACCAGCATATTAAAAAACAGTTTTGTTAACTGTAAAGTAGAATGAGCAGTGGGCTAGGGTGAGACAATGACCTGGATGCGAATGCTTAAGCAAGTCACTCAGTCTTCTTATCTGCAAATTGCTGTGTATACTGTGTACCTCACAGGGTTGTTCTGAGCATCACATTAAATAATGAATGAGAAAGTGGCCAATGAACCCTAGATGTCTCAAAATGTCAGATGTTGTTTTTCCTGGAAGAAGTATATTTTGAAGAGTAAGCAATGTTAAATAATTTGTCAAAGACTACTCAGTAACTGGTGTTATTGGGATTCAAACCCAGGTAATCCCCCATCCCAGCTCTCAGAAAACATCTTGCTAGATGAAAACAGAAAGCTTATTCTAACTTTCTATTTATGTACACAGAAATGGGAAAATAAGTATTGATTGAATAAGCAATCATAGTTGTAGAAAATGAGAGATAAGACATAGCACACTTACATTTTTTGTGGAAAGCCAGCAAAAGGACAGGGAATAAGGGAAGATCCTTAAGGATATTGGGGAAATGAGATCTGTACTTCAATTGTCTGATTTAGAAAATTAACCAATGAATACTTAGAGGCCTCTAGTCACACATACTTTTTATTTAATTCCAGCTGTATTTACCTTAAGTAACTTAACCACTAAGCATTAGTCAACTCATCTGTAAAATGGAAATAGTAACTCCCCACAGAGTATCTCCCTGATAAAATGAGGTAACAATCAGAAATGTTTGCTAAAGCACCTAATCTGGGTACGTTTTATTGCAGAGCATGACCTCTACACTAGTGGACTGCTCTCTCAGAGTAATTGTCCTAATAGTTAAATTGTTAAGCGTTACCTTAATCCCAATTCCTTTTTTTTTTTTTTCTCTCTCTCTCAGCAATGTGGAGTGGACTCTTCACTCACTTAACAGAATCTTGGAATAATTTTAAGGGTCTAGATCCAAATTATACAACATGGATGGATGTCATGGAGAGGCATGGCTACCGAACACAGAAATTCGGGAAACTGGACTATACTTCAGGACATCACTCCATTAGGTAAAAAATGAAACAAAAATAATCTTCATGGACTGCCCTCTACCATAGCGTGTACATGTACTCTTTTTTACTTTAACTTTTTTATTTTTCCACAAAGGTGAAAGTAAGTATCTTAATCCCTTCATTGTGTTAATTAGGCTGAAATTTTAGCTTTCTTTCATCTTCTTAAAACATTAAAATAGCTAATATAGGAGTCATTTTGTTTTTCTTAAACATTAAAGGTCTATAAATAGTGTTTGTAAAGTTGTTTAGCCCATGCTTTATTTTCATTGAATTTCTTTTAATGGCTACTGTATTATTAATTTTAAAATCTGTTTTTTAAAACCGTAGCCTTCTTGCTGCTTTCCTTGGTCAGTTCTCTCTAACTTGAGTCTATTGTAACTTTGTTTTTCTTTCATTTTACTAAGTCCTCAAAAACCAGGCAGCTAAGCATAGTGGTTAAGAGTAGAGGTCAAGAATCAGATTGCCTACTTTTGAATTATAGTTTCTGTTTACTACTAGTATTGTAGTAGTCTGATCTTGGACACATTGTCTAAATGTTGACACTGTACTTTAATTTCTTTGCTGTGAGGATTAAATGTATCAATAAGTTCAGCAAAGAGCTAACATAGGAGACCTGAGACTGCTCTGCTTAGAAAGGCTTGCTTGGAAGGTTGGCCCCTGTCTAGCATCTGGGAACTTGGATTTCTGGAGTATTCCCACTATTCCTTAACTGATAAGAGTGGCTTATTGTGTGCCTGGAGCATTTGTACATTGCGGTTTATGCCGAATATCAGCTTTCCTTCCAGGAGTCTGGAATTTTGGTATGTGCTTAGTAGAGGGCGCTTATATAATCAGCACCCCCTCCTAAAAAACTTGGGTACTGATTCTCTAATGAGCAGAAACAGCACTTCACATGTGTTGTCACAATTTGATGGTGGAAGAATTATGTCCTCTGTGACTCCATCTGGAAGCTTGTGCCTAGTTTCTTCTGGACCTCACCCTACGCACCTTTTCCCTTTGCTGATTTCGCTGTGTATCCTTTTATGTGATAAACTATAGCCATGAGTGCAGCTGTAGTCTGAGTCCTGCAATTCCTCCCACTGAACTTCGGTGTGATCTTGGGATCCCCCAACACTTGTGGCCCCCAACAGAAATACATATTGGGGATTAGAGTGCCCCTTTCTTACCTAGGCAAGTGCTAATTGAGGGTTATTGGTAATGGTTGTTGTGATGATGATGATGATACAAATGACGATAAATAATAAGAAAAAATTAAGTTAACAAAAATAGTGATGAATGTAGTGAGTTGAATAATGTTCCCCCAAATTTTGTGACCACCTAGAAAGAACTTCAGAATGTGATCTTATTGGAAAATAGACCCTATTTGCAGATGTAATTAGTAAGGATCTCCAGATGAAATCATGACTGCTGTCCTTACTAGAAGAGGAACAAGGACATAGGCACACACAGAAGAAAACAATGTGAAGACGGAGGCAGAGATAGTAGTGATGCAGCTACAAGCCAAAGAATGAAAGATTGCCAGGAGTCACCATAAGTTAGGAAGAGGCAAGGAAAAATTCTGCCAGAGCCTTCAGAGGGAATGTGTCTCTGCTGACACCTTGATTTTAGACTTATAGCTTCCAGAACTGTGAGAGAACAGGTTCCTGTTGTTTTAAGCCACACAGTTTGTAATAATTTATTCTGACAGTTCTAGGAGATGAATACAGTGAGTTTTGGGTAAACAGATACTAAAATAATCTAAAATAATCTGAACATTAAAATTGATTTGCTAGTTACTGTTTAATTTCTTTCCTTTTCTGTCCTCCAAAATCTAAAAGATGGCAGTACAGGAAACGCAGAAGCAATCCTGACATTCCTATTCTTTGCTCTGTCTTCTAATGCATGGCCAAATGTAGTCAGTTCTGCTTCTGAATTATTTCTCCAATTTACTCACTTCTCACTCTCTCCACCAAGCTACTGTCATCTCTTGCCTAAACTATTAAAATGGGCTTCTACCTGGACTCTTCGTACTCTATCTGACCCATTTTCTATAGGCAACTGGAATGATCTTTCTTAGATATATGTCTGATTACATGACACACTTGCTTAAAATCTTTCAGTGGTTTTTCTCTTCAGGTTAGTTAAAATCCCAAATCCACATCATGATTTATGAGACCCTACATGATCTAGCCCCTGCCTACCTCCAGTCTCATTTCGCACCACTCTATCCATCCCTCAGTATGCACCTGGTCTTTTAAAACTTTCCTTAATATGCTTTTTACTACATCTGGACTATTGCACAAGCTAGTTTCTCTGTGCAAAATCCTGTTCCCCTAATCTGCCCTGCTAATATCAGAAAGAAAGGGAGGGAGAGGAAGTACATGTAGGAGGAGGAACACAGCTTTGTGTCCACCAGAGCAGTCAGATACCCAGCTTCCCTGCTTACCATCCTTGTAACCTTGGGCAAGTTACTTGATATTGAGTGTCAGTGTTCTGTAAGAATTCTTGGGCAAGTTACCTAGCATTATGTGTCAGTGTTCTGTAAGTTATCTGTCAGAATTATGATTCCTACCTCGTTGGATGACTGTGTTTTATATGAGTTAAAAGATACTATACAAGGAGTAAGCAGAATAATATAAAATATTTAACAGTGCCTGGCACAGAGTAAGCATTTAGTCAATGGAAAGATTATTATTATGAAAATGGCTTAACCAGAATTGCAGTCTAACATTTATATAACCATCTTTTTTTTTTTTTTTCTTTTTTGGGACAGAGTCTCACTCTGTCGCCCATGCTGGAGTGCAATAGCTTGATCTCAGCTCACTGCAACCTCTGCCTCCCAGGTTCCAGCGATTCTCCTGCCTCAGCCTCCTGAGTATCATAGGCATGCACCACCACGCCCAGCTAATTTTTGTATTTTCAGTAGAGACAGGGTTTCACCACGTTGGTCAGGCTGTTCTCGAACTCCTGACCTCATGATCTGCCTGCCTCTGCCTCCCAAAGTGCTGGGATTACAGCTGTGAGCCACTGCGCCCAGCCATAACCATTATTTTTCTAAAGTGCTTTGCATTACTAGTTACTTTATGGAGTTTCACAACTTTCTCTTTAAAATCTTTCTCCTTTTTAGAATGCAAGCTTAATCTAAAGTAAAATACAACTGTTTATAATAAAATAAATCTAAGATTGAATGCCATATATCCCCTGTAACTTTTATTCTTCTATGTGACACAGTTAAAATATGACCTGACTTTTATTCCGCAGCAGGATAATTATCCATGCAGAGCAAGGACCTTATCTCTTCTTCTCTGCTTTATTCCCATTTGCCAGCATAGCACCAGTACATTGTAGGTTCACAATTAAATTTTTGATGAATGAATGAATGAAAAAGTTATTTTGAAGTACGTACAGTTTATTATTTGATAAACATTGATATTCTGTGTAATGCAGGATCATATCACTTATTCATTATTAGTATTTTTTACATATCTACAATAGAGGATATCCTGTTTTTAAGTTTTTTTAATTTTTAAAATACTAATATTTAGAAGTTCTTTCTTTGTCGTGTGGATTTCTAAAATTAGTAGAGGAAAAAAACCACTTAGATGTTGATATTTGGTGTCAAAGATGGTTTTCAGTGCAATACTTTCTTAAAGCTTATTTTCACTTACTCATACTCTCATCAGAGTTTAGGAAATTGAAATAAGCCACCAGGAGTATTTTTATGAGCACTGTATATACGCACACAGACATTTGGCTGAGAAGTAAGTCAAGGTTGCTATTAATAGCATGTCTGAAGGTTATATGAATTATAGCACATTATTTTTCAGTGTAAGCTTAAAAATAGGTCTCAGAACAAAACATGGTCTCACAATATCAAATTTCATAAATGGGGCATTCAGTCTTGTTGAGAGATTGACTTTCAAAATCAAAATGCAAGTTATTATAACTCTTTATTACTGAAATTGGCCATTTTTGAACCTGCTTATATTTTCAGCCAGAATTACAGGTTTCTTTATTATTATAATACTTCTGTCTGTCTTTTTTAGGCATCAGTGATGCTTCCTTCTTGTACCAATTTAGGAACACTAATTTAAGTAAGTGTCCCTTATTATATATGACACACCACACCATACTAGGATCTCTATGGGCTGCACGGTTGTTTCATCTGTACAGTTGTTAAAGAGATACCGGTAGTATTACTCATAAAAATGCCATTTACTGATGATAAGTCCTTCAGCAAGTAATTTATCTGCTTAGAATCCCAGTTTAGTCAAATGAGCTTTCACTAGGTGACCTTTAAAGTTCTTCTACTCTGCAATTCTGTAACTCCAATGGAGTACAGTTAAGTGGTTTCTAAATTTCTGATACTCATCTGTCCCTTCACATTGTATGTATTGAGTTGTAATAGGTTTAAGTTCAAATTTGCTGTCTTCTTATCAATTGAAAGAAAACATTTTTATTTAATTCATAGGATATTTTGGTTATTTTTGCTTTCAGTTAAATTTTGTTGCCTATATATTCCCAATATCTAAAGTAGTGGTTTTCAACTGAGGGCAGTCACCCCTCCCCTCACCCAATATATCCCCACCTCCACCTCTTGGCTGCCAAGAAGACATTTGACAATGTCTGGAGACATTTTTGGTTGATAACACCAGGGTTATTTTGCTGGTATCTGGTGGGTAGAGGCCAAGGTTGCTGCTCAGCAGTCTATAATGCACAAAACAGCCCCTTCCCTCATAAAGAATGATCAAGTCCAAAATGTCTTTAGTATAGAGATTGAGAAGACATGTCTAAAACTAGATATTTTATGCTTGCCAGCCTGGTCTTAGGAATGTCACACTTAAAATAATTGCCTACATTTTAAATATTGTTTATTCCTTCACTTTCTAAGGGATCAAATCCACTTGACACTAGTACATCAATTTAGTTTTTAGAATTAACAAAAAGAAAATGTATAGAATTGTTTATAGAAAGTGTATAGAATTAG